ATATGGCTGACTGGATTGATTGTTAATTAGGGTAATTATCTAAGAGATAATAGAATTACTTCTTGGTTGATATAATTTGGTCACTGAAGCATCCCAAGTACTTCTACTGCAAGCTGAGTGGTCTAAGGATTTTAGAAAGCAAAATCTCCAGAGGGCCACAAAACTTTCTTTTGAGTGTCTGAAATCTTTCACGCTGGCTCAGGAAAACACAAACCAGAAAATCCTGACACCTGTACACTGGTAATAGGCCACACTAAGCTCTTCAGAGTTCATACCACATTTTAAAGAAGGATTTGGGGACATACCCCGAAAGGGAAAGTCACTCACAGTATATTAGTGAAATGCCTAAATTAAGAAAACTCAGGGGGGCGCCTGGGTGGCTCAGTCATTAAGCGTCTGCCTTCGGCTCAGGTCATGGTCCCAGGGTCCTGGGATCGAGCCCCACATCGGGCTCCCTCCTCCTGGGGAAGCCTGCTTCTCCCTCTCCCCCTCCCCCTGCTTGTGTTCCCTCTCTCGCTGTATCTCTCTCTGTCAAATAAATAAAATCTTTAGGAAAAAAAAAAAAAAAGAAAAGAAAACTCAGGACTAGCCTATTTTAACCACAAGTAATAGCAGAGAATAAGGTGGCGAGACCATCAAAGGAGGCTGATAATGACCCCCAGGTCCTCACTAGCTCCCCTTCAGGGTGGCTGCCACAAGACACAGGGGAGGCGCGGTGTTGGTCCTCGAAAATGAGAGCCCCTTCGAGGTTCACAAGCACATGCAAAGAGCCTCTGGAGAGGTTTCTCCGATATGTAAATTAAGTAGTCATTACCTATTCAAAGTTGAGAGGAGTATGAATTTTTAGAAATGAAAATAGTCTATATGGAACACCATTTTCATAGTATTCCCTACATGGTAAGTGAACAGCAGGGCCAATTCCACCATCTTTAACCTACAAATGGAAACCTTAATCCTCTAAAGCAGAGCTGGAGACCATAACCCATGCAGCCGCGTGGTCTACACATGCAGGAATCACCACGCGTTCCCACCCTCACATACCCCCACGCTGACTCGGCCTCAAGGTCCTACTGCTAGTACCCTTTTTTTTTTTTTTTAAAGATTTTATTTATTTATTTGACACAGAGAGAGAGACAGCGAGAGAGGGAACACAAGCAGGAGGAGCGGGAGAGGGAGAAGCAGGCTTCCCGCCGAGCAGGGAGCCGATGTGGGGCTCAATCCCAGGACCCTGGGATCATGACCTGAGCCGAAGGCAGACACTTAACTGACTGAGCCACCCAGGTGCCCCACTGCTATTACCTTCTAAACGGAGGTCAGATCTCACTGACCCTGACTCATCTAAATGTGCATCAATCTCAGGGTCTGACTCCTCTGCCTGTAAATCACATGCCACAATGCTACCAAATTCCTCCCTAAACCCTAAATGTGCTCCTCTTGTGCCTTTGCCTAAAATCTTCAAGTGGTACCCTGACTTCTTCAGGATAAGGTCTAAGCTTCTAAGCATAGTACACAACAGACCTTAAAATCTGGCCCATCCTACCTAATTTCTTGCTTACCCCCAAACTATGCTTTTTCTCTTCCTTCCCTCCCTCCCTTCCTTCCTTCCTTCCAAAAATATTAATGACACACTATTTTAGATCCTTAGCATACATGAATGAACAGAAAGATCCTTGTCTTTGTGAGCTTCATGTTCTCGTGGTAGACAGGCAGATCGATAGAGAGGCGTACAGATGATGTAGGTAGCGAAATGACAGACAGGTAGATGGACAGATGATGAGTAGGTAGGTAGGAAGATGGATGACTGACAGTGTTGGAGGTGATAACTGCAATGGACATACATGAATCAGGAGGGGAAGCATAGGGATTGTGCGAGGTGACACTGTGTCGTACCATTTTAACTGGGTGGTCAGAGAAGGCTCACGAAAACAGTAACCCCTGAGCAGAGACCTGATGGAAAGGTAACAAGCAATGTATGTATCTGAGGGAAGAACATTCTAGGCAGCAGCAGCTGAGAGCATAAAGGCCCCATAGCAATTACATGCTTGAGAAACATCCAGAAAACCAGCATGGTTGGAATAATGGGAAGCCAGACCATGAACATGGTAGATGCGAATCTTACTCCGAGAGCAGCAGAAACTGCTGGAATACGAGGAGTGTCACCAGCTAACCCATGTTTGGGTCACTGGTCTGGCTCTTCCTTTGGACTGTGAGCTCCTTAGCCCAAAGCAGGCAGAGCTCCAAGCTCATCCCCGGGTCTGGGGTTCTAACTGGAAAGACAGACCCCAAGTGCAGCAGGTGTTCCCGTGTCTGCTGCCCCATGGGGATGCTACCTGATGTGAACAGAGATTCTGAAGTAGGCTCCAGGTGGGCTGGACTGAGACAGTTGCGGTTTTCTTCTAAGAGGGCATTGCTGCAGGTTCTCGTACTCTCTTTCACCACCCTCCACCCACATTTCTCTCCCACATCTACTCCACTCTCCAAGATGGGAGGCAGCCTGGGTGAATGGAGATGCATCTGAGGCCAAGACAGCACCGTTTCCTACTTTGTTAACAGCTCTCAGACTTTTACTTGAAAGAAAAATGGTGAGGCAACTAGCACCTGGTCTATCTCCTAAAACAGCCAGGAGGATTTGGAGAATATGCCTTAGCAAAGGCCAGGAAAACATCAGGGTTTATCAGCCCCAACCCTCATCATTAGGAAAGACAGGTAATGGAGGAAACAGACTGTGCTAGGTCTTAATTTCCATCTAAATTTTAAAAAAATTTAACACAGAGGGCGCCTGGGTGGCTCAGTCGGTTAAGTGACTGCCTTGGCTCAGGTCCTGGGATCGAGCCCCACATCGGGCTCCCTGCTCTGCGGGGAGCCTGCTTCTCCCTCTCCCACTCCCCCAGTGTTCCCTCTCTCGCTGTGTCTCTGTCAAATAAATAAATAAAATCTTAAAAAAAAAAATTTAACACAGAAAGAGCTTAGAACAAGACACAATTACAAACTTCTATGTGGGAAGAAGTCAGATAATAGAGCCAGACAAAGCTAGATTTGCATCCTGTTTTGATGAGGTACTCACTGTGTTACCGTTAACAACCACACACCTCCCTGAACTTTGTTTCTTATCTATAAAATGGAAAAAACATCACCTGACTGGTTTCTGTGAGAACTGAAGATACTGATGATCGTACATGTGTGTCTACGTGTGTGTGCCTGCATGTCTGAATGTATCTACATGTTTGTACATCTACATATATCTGTGTGTTGGTGTCCACACGTGTGTCTACATGTGCATGTCTACCTGTGTCTGCATGTCCGTGTATCTAGGTCCACATATGTATCTATATGTGTCTACACGTGTGTCTGTGTGTGTGCTCTGCATACCTATGTATATATCTACAGGCATGTGTCTGTTTCCACATGTGTATCCACATATGTGTCTACCATACAGGGGGCTGTGTGTGCATGGACATGTGTTTACATGTGTGTCTACTGTACACGTGACTTTGTATCTGTCTGCATGTGTCACTACCTGTGTGTCTACTGTATGTGTGCTTCTGTATGTCTACATGTGTCTGTACTTGCATCTGCTGTATGCGTGACTATGTGTGTACATACATAAAACACTAACATGGTAGTATCCGGACAAGTGAGGTAATTGAAGCATTTCACAGTAAGTTGACAGCACCTGTGTGCATGCCTCTACCCGCCTAACTATTTGAAAGAGGCCTCTGAGACACCTGAATGAGGATGGGCTCCTGAGACATGCTGGGTGTTCCAATATCTCTGGAAAACAGAAGGTGGAGTTGAGAACAAGCTCCTGCTTCATTCCATCCCCACACTGTCCCCACATCAAAGCATCTGGGGGGCTGGGGGGGCCAAGGGGCAGCACTCAGCCTTCACTCTCATTCCCCAGATGATGACCCTGATGCTGTAAGGTTTGCCCTACCCCTCCCTCCCTCCTAGGAAGGAGCCCAGCCAGGAAGTCAGGCAGATGGCTCCTTACTGGAAAGGGTGCGGGTTTTGTCTTGTCACCCTGCTAATGGAAGGAGCCATGAAACAGAACCAAGAGTATGGTCGATCCACCCAGCCCTGGTGTCAACTGCCTGAGCTGCCTCATCCCACAGCCTCTGCTTCCTCTTCTGCAACATGAAGGAGCAGTAAGTGCTTCACCTGTTTGTTGTAAAAACCAAGTGGGATAGTACTTGTGAAAGTGCTCTGCAAAATATAAAGTGAAGTGTTAATCTTTTGTCATCATTAGCAATCCACATCCACCCTGAACTGAAGTCCCAGCAACAACACTTACTGATGATTTTCCTTAAAAACTGTAGTTAGGGAAGCAGGAAAAAGCAACTTTAATGTAGATGTTGGAAAAAAATCTCTCAAAATGTAATTAAAATATTAATCACCATACAAGTTTTCTGATGAGAGAAATTAATAGAATGAAATTAATGATAGAAATGTAAGCCAACCAAACCTGGGTGATGGCTACAATAGAACAAAGTTACCAAGACAGCATTCTTGTACACAGCACCATAAAACACAAAGGAAAGAAAAAACATGGGAAAGTTTAAGGATTTTCTTTTTTAAAAACTACTTGAAAACAGAAATCCTGGGGTTAAAAGAGAAGGAAAAAAATTATACTAGCGACCAAGAAAATACAAAGTAAAACCAAACTGCTGAATAGTAACACCTAAAAAAAAAGCAAAATTTGGCTCATGAGAGATTACTGTTCAATTGTTATGAAATTCTAAATATCAGACACTATCTTTAAAAATGTGAAAAGAGTTACTATTTACTGAGTTTTAATGTGTGCCACTGAGGGCATATTTGTTTAGGAGGCAGGATGTCATTACCTATGATCACACAACCAGCCAAAGGACATTCAAACGTACCACACTCCTGCCTCACACCCACGCAGCTGCTGCAGACATGCACCTGCCTGTCCACTTCACCATCACCATCACCATCACAGACCGGGGGATCAGTGACCTCACGACCACTTGGTGCCTTACCTGACCTATAGCGCTCATCTCGTGACCCTGAGGACCTTCGGCGGTGATAGCGAGTGGAAGAAGCAGGAGTGACGGGAGCCCGGCGCTCGGGAGGCAATGCTTGATCCACCCCTGGGTTAAGGGAAACAGCAAAGTAAGGTAAGGCTTTACTTGGCAGCCAGAGTTCATTCATTTGGTAAAATCATTTGGTAGAATGAAGCCCTGACTCACTGCATGCCCACAGCCAAGCTAGAGCATGCAAAGGTGTGGACGGGGGCCAGGGGACGTCATGGACACTGAACAGGAAAGGGAGAAGTGTCCCAGGCAGGGGAAGACTCACGCCCGACACTACCCTTCAGAGACCCCCACACAGGCTCCCTTATATCACACACATCTAGAACAGTCATAAGAAAAATGGAGCCCAAAGAATCAAGTTATGATCTTCTTTATATAACAAACATATAGAAAGGGCTATGTTCATTCTCGAGGAAATTTAAAATTACATTTACCATTAAGGTTACTTTTACAATAAATCTTATAGGATATCTTAACGCTACAATTCAGGTAACCAGGACTGTGCATGAATGTTCATCTTTGTTCATTCAAAATTTCTAACTCTGAATCTTACTCCCCTTGATGCGAAATAACTGAAAAATTTCTATTTCCATATGGCCATGACGAATTACCTGAAAGGATAAAACGGTCAGATAAAACTAATTTGACGGCTATTTGTCAAAAGCTGACCTAGATCTGGCGATCACGATACCAATTACCCTTGGGAACTTGGGCAGCAGGAAGCACCATCTCCATAAAACTAAGTAAGTACAGCAGGAAAGGTTTCATCATTACGGTGCAGAAGTAAAGAAATTCGGAGCACTGGGCATCAAACATTAACTGCTGAGTCTTCAGAAAAGGACCAGCAATACTTGGTAGAGAAAGTAAACCAGTGACGGCTATTTTAACAGAAACTGTTTAGGTTTTCTGTGATGGCCCCATGAGGGTTATTTATATCAGGGGTGTAATTTTTCTCTTGTGCTGGTGATTTCTACACCTCAATTCTTTTTTTTTTTTTTTTTTTTTTTTTAAGTAGGCTCCATGCTCAACGTGAGGCTCAAACTCACGACCCTGAGATCAACAGTTGCACACTCCACTGATTGAGCCAGCCAGGCATCCTGCTGCACCTCAGCTCCTGCTGGCATGTTTGTGGTTAATGACACGATAGGTTAACTAACTGCAGATTAACTGCATTCGGTTAACTGCATTAGAATTGTGCAGGAGACAGCCACGCCACAGTCACGTGGCGAGCTCCTGCAAGTGCTTCATCCAGTAGGCACACCAACATACATCGTTAAACTTCTTGATGACACAGCAGCTCACTGCTGCCAAACCCTGTCCAGTTATAGTCTGCAAATGATCTTTAAAAAAAAACTACTCTATTTCATCAAACAGATGCACAGAATTTATAAAATCAAGTACTATTAAGTCATAATGACAAGTGGTGGTCATTGGTGTTTACATTCGTGTTTGTAAACATGAGCTTATGATCCCTCTTAATTGCTCGTTTTAGACAACACATGACTTCTTTACATAAGTATGGCCCTCACTGTACCACGGTTAGATCATGAGTCAGTAGTGTGCCATGAACACCCTTCTACCTTAGACTTTTTTATTATTCCTGGGTTAATATTTGCATCTTTTGGTTCCATCATCTTGGTTTTCAATGGACCTCTTGCTAATTCCTTGAAAATATCCCAACAGAACTGAAACCCTTTCCAACACTTTCTCCCCCATGGGCAATCACCAACAACTTGGGGACAGTCTTTTAGTTTGGTATTCTTTCTCCCTGAAGACCCTCCTCGTGGATCCCCTCCTGCTCTAATCCAGGCTGGCTGGTCCAGACCTGCTTTACAACCACCACAGAGCATCCCTTCCTCCTGGAACTTGCTTTTGCCTAGACATCTAAGCAAAATTACAGATAAATTTGAAATTTGGAAAATGTGTAAAAAGATTTATTTGAAAGTTATGTGCATTCATGGCTTCTCATGCCAATTATTGGTGAGAAGTCAAATGTCATTCTGATGGTATACTGTTCATGAAAAATCTGTTTATTGTTTTCTTTTCTCCTCTGTCAACTTGCACAATTTTTTCTTTACTCCCACCAAAGGAGCTGCGAGTCTGTCTTCCTCCTGTGGTGGGGTTATCACCAGACCTACTGCCAGCAAGCAGATGTTTTACCTGAGCTATTGCATTTACCCGAAGAAGAGACCTCCGCTCTCCTGTCTTGTGAATCATTCGGGGCTGGAGCTGTTCTTATTCTCCAGGGCACATGCTCGGATTCAGAGAACCCCAAATCCCAAGGTTCTCAGGTCCATTTCTCCAGAGAACAAACATCTCTGGGGGAGTGGGGAAGACGTGGGTCACCTGCTTCCTAGATGCCAAGCCTCATCCTCTCCCTCTGGTGCCCATGAAAGCAGTACCATCTGCTACACGTTGCATCCCCATCATCGACCCCGATACCACAAAAACTTGCCACTGTTTCTCCCATCCGTCTGTCCTGTGGATTGACACTTCATCCACTTACAGACACATCTTGGTGCGGTTCTGGGAAGAAGAGGAGCTAAATGTGCACATTCAAGCTGCCAAGGTCTAACAGATTTATACACACAGTTAAGTCCAGCTTTCCCTCTCAGTCCTGCTACAGACCTCGGGAATTCAAGTACACTTCCCGGAATTCCATTAACCTTAACCCCGCCTGGGTCCCCTGTGGCCGTGCACCTCTGGGAAACGCAGGCGCAGCACACAGACCAGGGACCTGCACGCCTGTCCTCAGCTAATTTTGCACACAAACACTGGACATTTACCTTCATAGGCTGAAGTACACAGCTTACAACACAAGTTTTAAGAGAAATGAGTTAACTAACAAAAGGAGAATATCTTCAACAGCTCACTGGCAACAGGGCATTTTAAAAAGCTAAAATATTGGTGTGCACATTTCTGTCATTAATTTTTATCTGCCCTCACTGTGAATGAAATCTGAAGTAGCTTAAAGTATGTTCTGACAAGGAAAAGCCCTCCGTCAAATATGCAGCAACTCCAGATTAGAATTTCCACCTGTCCGCACAGGGGGACCCTGAGGTAATGAGTGAGGCGTCCTTCCCGCTGGGTGTGAGGTGGCATGCACACACGCATCTTTACTAGAACACACAGAACTCAGGATGCAGGGCACCAAGGGCCCAGGCGCCCACCACGACTGAAAACCAGCTCTCGGGACCACTGGAATATGGGCAACAGAATGTGGGGACCAGGTCTGAGCGAGGACACTGGAAGGCCAGGGGTCTCGAGGGAGGTGGGGGAGCCCTCCAAAACCACACGAAGCCAGCACGCAAAGATTAATCCTTCTCAGGCAAATGTGTGGCGGGGACGGAGAGTGGCTCTCCGTCCCATGCTTACAAAGCACCACGTGGCAGAGACTCAGCTTCGGGTCCCACGTAAATGGAGGGACAGGGCACCAGGGACACGTCGGGCTCTGGAACCTAGCTACCCTGAGCCTCAGTTTCCCATCTGTACACAGCTCTGCCATTCTAAGTAGCATCTGAATGTTCACGGTAGCTGCCCCTTCCCTTGAGACGGGCGCCCCCTCCCGGTGCTCCCAGGTGCGCTGGGGGCTGGGTCCTTGGGGCAGAAGTCACGGGCTGCTGGGCTCTGCATGCTGGGCAGTAACACTGTCACAAGGGCAAGTCTACCTGGTCCCTGGAAGAGAAGCGGCCTCGTGATCTCGCTGCCAAACGACTCGTCCCCCGGTGACCTTCCCAGGACAAGACTGCTGCCCAGGAACGAAATCGGGGCAGCTAACAGCTGCGAGGTCGGCGGACGAGTGCTCCTCGGATTCTCACCCGGGAGCCAGGACGTCTGTCTGCTCATCCCCTCCCTGGGCAACGCTGCCCCGGCCCACGGGAGGACCTTGGGGAGGGCTCCTGAACCAACACGGCTGGTCTTCACGGCATGAGCAGGGCCTTGCGAGGCTCCCGCCAGGCGTCAGTTCAACCATGGCCTTCAGTGAGATTTCTCTTTCCCTCAAGAACCGCAAAGGGGCTCAAGAGGAAGGAACCCGTGGAGCCCAAGAGGAAAGAGGAAGGTGGCCAGGCAGGGAGACAGTAACCAAGCCCAGGACCCCAGCCCTCTGCCAGTGAGGCTGTCCTCAGACAGCCACACGCGAGTCCGTCCCAAATGCTTCCAACACATGAGGAAGAAAGGACTCCGCAAAGGAAATCCCTAACAACACCGTGCTGTCCCCTGAGCAACCCACCAATTCCAGTGCCAGACACTGGAAACCACATTGAGTCCTCACATTCACTCAGGAATGTGGCCACAGGGGCTCTGCGGCTCTGACATGCTGTCTGCTTTGGGCCAGGACACCTGCCGTGTAGACCACCTGGCTCATCCGGGTGTCAAATGTTCTAGAAAACATCAAGACTTCTAAATTCAGATAGCAAGGGAAATACATGAGAACACCGTGGTTCTCCACATAGTTTCAAAAGAAATCATGAAGGATTTGTGGAAGAGGACTTCAGTAAAAATGCATATGGGATTCAAAACTAGAAGACCTTGATCCAAATTCTGGTCTTATTCTTAGTCTGCGTGGAACTGGGCAAATGTCTCAGCTGCTACCTCAGCTTCCGTGTACGTTGGGGAGTAGACATGGACACGGTCACGTGTGAATGACGTTCCCTCAGGCCCTCGCTGGAACCCAAGCCTCTCTGGTCCTGTCCCCTCGCGTTCAGTGCCCGTGGATCCCAGGGCCCAGCAGGAACTCACAGCCACCCCGGGGCTCCTACACACGTGGATCCAGCTTCAGGAACCTGGTGAAATTGCGGAGGGCTTTTCCAAGTCTGCACAAAAATGATTTCTGAATTGTCCCCTTCTCTTCTAGTACCTAATTAACTCACATAGCGGCACTTACTTCTAAAATAAGTTCAATCAAGCCTTTGCAGAAGATACGCAGTACCGTTGTTACGTAAGATGAGAAACTTACTACGTTTGCTTTGTATGGACTCAGACAAGAACACAGCACAGAAAGAAATTCCATCACCTCCACAGCTGCCCCAACCGTCAGCCTGATTCTCGTTTCTGCCTCTCATAACCGAAGTTCTTGCTGAAAATCAGTATGAATTTGCTAACCATATTCCTGTCGATATACTGTAGTTTGATTAGAGACTCATTTTGTGGAAAAGTGCAGAAGATCTGGAACTTTAGAGAGCTTGATGTGCACCCAACGCACGCTCTTTGCTCACCGAGTAACAACAGAAGCTCAGAAGGGAATGAGTGCACGAGGTCAGGAGCGGGGCTGCAAATGTCTGCGTTTTTCAGATGCCCACACGAGCCAGTTCCACAGCAGACATCTTTCTCGCTGCCCAGGTGGACACTCAGACCCCACTCCCGGCTCTGCTCAGGCTGCAGAAGCTTGCACGGGAGGAGGCTTCTCGGCTCCCGTGACCCCTGGTATGGGGAAGCAGGAACTTGGCAGGTAGGACACCACTAAGAATAACGGGAAATCCATCTGACCAAACCCACAGCTGCGTGTGATAGAACAAGAGCTCGGCCAAGGAGAGAAGCAAACTGTGCACCGAGATCACGACTGTGGGTAGCTCACCTAGGACATGGGCAGTTCACCTCTCGCTGAGGAAGGCTCAGCTCCTACAGCAAGTCCATCTGGAAAAGATTCACGCCAAGTCACAGACTGGCAACCTGATTTAAAGACCTGTTTTCTCTTCCCGGGTTTAAGCTTGCACCTGACACACCGTCCGTCATGAACAGACAGCATGGCATGACCCCTCAGTGGGGGTGGTCCCCAAGGAGCCTGTCCCTCAAGCCCTGGCGGGGATGGGCTAACGTTGCTTCCGGGCCCAGGACTGCACTCTGGGAGACCCTAACTCCTGCTGCAGAATGAAGACACGGAGCTGGTGTGCAACGGGCACCGGAGGAGCAGAGACCTGGCCAGGGGCAGCTCAGGAGGCCACGGCACCCACACACTTTCTTCTCTGAGTCTCAAACAGCACCTGACTGCAGTCTGCATCCTTAAACACAAGACAAGAACATGCCTCATCATCCGGGAGACCAGAAAGGGCACAATTCACAAGCTCTGAACTCTGCCCCTTGAAGGAGACTCCTTCACAAACCTGGGGACCCAGCAGGAGCCTCGGTGGCTGGGCTTCAGATGCTGCCGCCTCCGTATGGGCCTGTCCCAGGAAAAACGATGTCAGGACAGTGTGTCTGCACTTAGAGCACCAAACACCGGGGATGCTGAGCTGAAATCCAGGATTAATGATCATAAAATACAATTCAGTTGACTAGAATGTGCAGAGGCCCCAAATCGTGTTCTCCTTTAACCTCTCAGATATGGAAACAGTGAGGAGCACGATGTGTCACCATCTACAAGTATCCAGATCGGAAATCAAAACAAAGCTGTGCTCACAGCGGAGATGCCTCCAGCACCAAGAGGTCCGTCTGCCTGGATGCTTGGGGCATCACACAGAGCTGAGCACCACGCAGACACGCTGGCTCAGCCCTCGGCGGGGCCGGCTCTGAGTGCTCCCTGCTCCACCAGAGCCTGTGAGCACCAGCACCTGCTGGACACACTGGCCTGGTGTCCACGTGGGCGCTGTGGCCAGGAGGACGCAGGGCAGGGCCCTACCTGCCACCAGCAGGTATTTGACAGGGCATCCACAGCCCAGCAGCCGGTCTGTAACGTGCAGACGGTTACTGGTTCATCCTTCCGCAAATATCTGAAAGCGCCTACCTCCTCAGGGAGAAGTGGGATGTTGTGAGGAGCGGGGCCAGAGGGCCTGTCCTAACCCCAGGGATCCTTGCAGAGGTGACATGGGAGCTGGGCCTCGAACAATGCGCTGGTGCAGAGAGGGCAAGCAGGTGCAGGAGGCCACCCTTGGAAACAGAGCACGGGACCGTCCAGCAGCAGGAAGGCCCACGGAGCTGAAGAGGGGCCAGGGCTTCTGTGTGCAAAACCTTCTGATGCAGACTCGGCTACGCTCTGCGCAGGGCCCTCGGTGTCCTTCAGCAGGAGCAAACGCGGTCAATTCACCCTCACCAAGAGGTCCCTCCACCGAGGAGGCTGTTCACGCACATCCCATGGCCAATTCCCGGGGAGCAGGAAGAGAGCAGACAGACTTGCCCTCTGGTCTCATGAGTGGAATCCACCAAGATTACTGTAACTATACAGTCATGGGAAATCCTTGAACACAATGCCACCTGGCCGTTGACAGAAAAGCAAGATGGGCACACATGGGACCGGCACTACAGAAACCACCCTCCACGGAGAAACATGCACAGAGTCACGGGGAAAGTCAATCTCCTGACATACATGCTGTGAGAAACAGGGACTCTGGTCCTGGGAACTCTATTTCAGTAACAGTGGAATTTGACGGCATGACCTTGTCCCAGAAGCAGCAGGGACTTGGTTGTCGAAGCCAGCTCTGGTGCTCAGATGTGCCCACAGAGACTGGCAGCAAGTGGGTTTGTGTTCTGTTTTTAAAGTTTTATCAGGTTTGGGGATTAATGAAAGTGACACTAGGACCAGGACCCAATGGGTCAGTCTTAAGTAATATTTTCTCCTTGAAAATGATTTTTAGTGTATTTTCCTGACTCCTTCTTTCCTTTCTAGCTCCTGGCACAGTTTTTCTCCTCTAGATTTAGGGAAGCACTCAACATTGCGCTCCCCAAAGACAACGTATCTTCTGGGGCACCTGGTACCACCAGGTGTCCAAAGAGGAAAACCAGGAGACAGATTGCTTCCGCAGCACGTTCCCTGGGATGGACTAACGCCCGGGACTCCGACCCGAGTGCTCACAAATGCCCATACAAGCCACTCTAATTCAGAACTGTGTGTCCCAAACGACATCTTAGAAATGTTTTTAGAATACTTTCTAGAAGTGTTAATATTTTCTCTGACAAATAAAAATAATGTTAAAAAAAAAAAAAAGGTTCACAAAACACAAACGCCCTTAGAGGAACGTGCTCAGCAGGATAAGGTGACTGACTACACACCAGACGCTTCTCCTGAGATCCTAGCCCCAAAGCGTCACTTCTCAGACTGGGCACGTCAAGAAAGCAAGCTCGGACTCAGAACCCTCTGCTCTCGTGCTACTTCCCCAGAGTTCTACAGAATGAACGACCGTTCACACGATTTCTCAGAAATAATGACTAGCAGTGAAAACTGCAAAACTGGCTGGAATCTGCTCTCCTTAGTCTAGAACCATGGGGAACCCGCCTTCCCTTCCTGGGGGGCCCGGGGGGTGGGGAACGGGACACAAGGCCCCCAGAGCTGTATCTCCAAGCAGGCTGCCTCCTCCTCACGTCTCAGTCAGGTGCGGGAGGCTCCTGTGAACTGTGAAGCGGACCCCGCGGCTCACGTCTGACTCCACTGGCCCCTCACCCACCTGCCCCTCCCCGTCAGGGGCCCAGAGAAGAGGGACTGGAGCCCCAGCAGAGGCCTCGTCTGAGACCCTAAGGCCAAGGCAACATTAAACATCTCTTTTCATTTCTTCATGATTTTCAAATAATGGCCTTTATTTGGGATAAATCCCTAAAGATAGACCTAAAGCGTACCAATGCTCATTTTCTTGTACTAAAAGATGAATTGAACTCATTCTTTGAGCTTCTTATATTCAAAAGATTGCCCACGAAAGCAACCGTGGTCTCCGAATGGGAATACACTGTACAATCACTGGCTCGATTTTTCTACTTCCCTTTGGAAACAGGATCATGCTGCCGTGTGGACCTCGCTCTCTAGCAGAGCTCAGGGCCACGGCGGCCCGATACTCCCTCGAGGAGACCAGACCCCCACAGTAGCGGAAGACCAACCATTGCAACAAGAATTTTAGGGTTTGTCATGCAATCTTCTTTCTCAAGTGTTCCTAACTGGTGCCCCAACTGTGAAAATAGGGTTGTACAACACAGTATTACATCTTCAGAGAAAAGACTGCGAACTGGGCCCGAGGCCGCGGGACAGTCGGGGTGTGGGGACTGGGACACGTGGCCCCCGGTGAGTGGCGGGAGCCCGTCAGGAGGATGGGGCTTGCCTGGAACCCCGCCTGCACCCGCACGCGGCTGTGTGAGAAAACCCGCCAGCGTCGCCCACACGGGGAGTTCACGGCACGGCAGGTGGGAGGTCGGCCTCCGGCCCTGCGGGGGGTCTCTCTCAGTGGAGTGCGCTCACCGAAGCGAAAGTAAAACAGCGGCCGGTTCCCCGCGGTGCTGGCCGCCCGCTCTCTGACCGCGGCTTCTCGGATGTCACACACCCCGATGTTGCCGGAGTGCAGCGCTCTTCCCGGGGCTCCTTCACTGTGCTGCAGTCTACACCGGACCACGGCAGCTCCGTTCGCTGCTGTAACAAGTTGAGAAAAACTAATTAATGCAAACTTTTGGTTTTTTAAAAAAATTTGTTACAGCACTGAGCAGAGCTGCCGCCCCCATGCAGAACAGCACAAAGAACACCAAAGGACCACGCGACACGGGGCCACCCTCAACGCCCAGCCAGCACGGCCAGCCGCATCCTCCGCGGCTCAACAGCATCTCCTGGGAACGCACAGACCTGCTTCCGTTTCACTTCTGTTTGGTCTGTCCCAGAAACTAAAAGCCCACAATGTCAGGAGCCTACAGTCCGCCCCGGCAGCCCTCCTCCAAGACATGGGGGCAGTCCCTGCAGGAAGGAATCACACGGACCCGCCACGGAGTCGGCCGTCAGCCTGGCAGTCCTGCTGGAAGACCGTCTGGTCATCTGCCCACATCTGCTCTAAAAGCCTTCCACACGTGGGTGTCCGCCAGCCAAAAATCGGACTCACTTTCAATTCACTGAATAGAACAGAGCTTCTTCCTTCCAGAAGCCAGACAACAGGGAAATCCAGCTCATCGGCTAAGTCAGGCCAACACAACAGGTCCACCTTCACGTTAACTTTCTCAAATATCAAGCAAAGAAAGAAAAATACACAAAATCAAAACAAAACTACAAGCACAACAGAAACTCCACACACAAATTCAGTTCCCTGGATTGTGAGCCGTGCGAACCACCCCTCACCGTGCTAATGGAACACTAGCTGGGGGTGTCACAGGAGGGCAGAGGGACAGAGTGGATCTGTGTGCCATGCGCACCTGCAGACGTAAACCTCTCTACCAGAAGCTCCTGAGCTGGGCTTGAAACAAATCGTTTCAACAGTGAAAACTATAGAGTTCAGGAAGCACCTGCAAAATTCAGGTTGCTTTCCTTTTTCGTTGAGGACTTGGGTCAGATTTAAGCCATTCCTAAAACCTAGCAGATTCTCAGGGTCACCTCCAATTGAACTATGCTTCAATCAGAACTAAAGGGCCACAACTCCAGCCTGGGAGCATGTTTTCTCCTGAAATGTGCAGAACGCAGGTCAAGTGCACAGAGATTCTACAAACCTGCACCCAGGAAACACTTGAATGAAACAGACTTTGTACTTCAGGGAAGAATCCACCGCATTTTATGATCACATTTCAGAACACAACCAACCTTTACCAAGTCATAGCCCCATGCGGGGTACTCTAGATTCTAGATCTGCCCCCTCATGACAGCAACAAAAACCTTGGGTTAATTTAAACTAGAGTCAATGGCAATAATTTTTAATTCACTAAACCAAAAGTCATGTTTACATCGTAAGTGCTTTCATATTTGTTTATAATAAGCATTTTAGAGTAATCGATGTATTCTTGCCTTCTGTAGATGAAAGACCTATTAAATTAGGCACATTTACAGAAGAGCCCATGTGCCTCCTGCGTCCACAAAACATGTGCAATCACAGAGGAGTCCTGTGTGGCCAGTGCCACATCAGAAGTGTGACCTTTGTGCAGATTGGGCATGAGAAAGGGTTTGCACTCAGCGGTTTCTCTTGCATGTTACACTGAACTCTTAAAATCAGATGCTTTATGTACTCATGGAGGGTACGTACTCGGAGGCTGGGGCAGGTAGGCTCCGATGAGTTTTGACCTCTTCTTTTCATACCCTTTTTGGGTGATGTCACCTGGAAGAGAAGGAAAGAGACATTCAGAATGGCCTCAGTGACGAGTGGGTCGCTCTTCAGATTCTAAGACACCGCAAGTTACATCTTTTGTGTCTTCTGTTTGCCTTTTAATTATAATTTAAAGAATAAAGGACCTTGTCATTCACCTTGGCCCTCCCCTGCCCTCAAATAGTCATTTAAGTTACATAAAAATCCTTGGTAGTCTCCTGCTTGTCCCAGCCCCTCCCTGCGAGGTCTCGGCTCCCACAGGACCCAGAATTAGTCTGTGATCTTGTTCACACCAGCCAAGCAGAAAGCCTTCCAGTCTGCATGGCTCTCACTAGCTTAGCCAAAGAGACACTGCAGGCATCGATGCTGGGGACAGCCACCCAAATCGTGCTGATCAGCATCTTCCTCCACGGACCAACCCGGCTGGGCAGTCCCAAGGACACCAAACTGCTCGGGTGTTTATGAAAATAAGTGACTCAGACCAAATGAAACATGAAATAAAGCAGGAGAATGTGGGAACTACAGAAATCTAAAGTATGTGAGCAAGGTGCTCATCCTTAAAGCAAAAATTGAAATGTTAAAGCCAGAGGTTCACATGCAGAAAAGCAAGGGGTATACACGCTGACGTTTTCCCCAAGTGCTCAGTACCTAGGACAAAGCAACCCGTGGAACACACAACAGCCTTTTCTAATTTTAAGTGCTAATACACTTAAATTTTGTATTTTGTAGCATTTTTTCCCCCAATATTCTGATCAAATCATCATTCCCAGAAGAGCTAAACAGTCAAGTTTTAATAAAAATACAGATTGGTGAATTTGCTTTTTCTGATGACATATGCTCACTAAATTTGAGCAAACCATAAAGCACCCTGAGTGTATGCTGACTGACCCGACAAACTCACAGCTCCCACTGTGAGTCGTGTGCACCCCATGAAACGCACACCTTGTTTTAAACAACAGAAGTCTGTGGAAAACGTTGTCTGCTATCAACCGGCAAGCAGCCTGACGCTATCAGCATGTCCGCGGGCCACCGTGGATGAGCAACACTCACCGCATGGCCCTCCGGTGAACACGCACTACGGCTGGGCCCACACCCACCCTCAGCATCGAGGCTGCTCGGCTGCTTTGGGACGTGCTCCATCCAATCCCCCATTTTATTTATTTATTTTTAAAGATTTTATTTATTTATTTGAGATAGAGCAAGAGAGAGAGAGAGCACGAACAAGAGGGAGGGTCAGAGAGAGAAGCAGATTCCCCGCTGAGCACAGAGCCTGACATGGGGCTCGATCCCAGGACCCTGGGATCATGACCTGAGCCGAAGGCAGATGCTTAACCGACTGAGCCACCCAGGCGCCTCTCAAACTCCCCATTTTAAAAGGATGCCTAAAATCTCAATAACCAAAAACCCCATGTGCACACACACTCTGGAGCGTGTTTGCAATTTCAGGAAAAAGGACTAAGTTTTTGACTTAGGTCACTGGCTGAGAAGTGTTGGTCACGGGTCACACCTTCTGATTCCTGGCCACGACCAGTACACCTCTTGTCACGTTAAAGACAAGAAAACATCTTCGAGGAAACAGCATAAAACCAATCTGCAGAAGAACCACCACCGGGATAGGGAAGTGCTGTGGCTAGCGGGGACCACACGGGGGTCAGAGGCGGACAGGTCCCCCAGGCTGCTTCACATCAGCCTGCCTGAGCACAGGGGACAGCGAAGCTCCCAGTCCTGCTCACAGTCAGAGAGGAACGTTCTGCCCTTAGAGGACACGGCAGTAGACACCAGAGGCTTCTCCCAGCCCCGCGGACCCTGAGAAGCAGTTCCCTGTGGGCTCCCTGTCCCTCACTCCCCATGCTCCCCCCACAGCTCTCTGAGCACAGTGCCGGTGAGGAATCAGTTCATTTCCTGCTTCTTCATCCTCCACAGCGTATTTCCCCAATTCAGAGCCCGTCTGCTCCCTGCAAGGGAGAGGCCAGGACATCAGGGACGGGCAGAGGGGCACACAGGTGAGGGCGGACCATGGGGCCACAGTGGTCCTGAGCGGCCCCCTTCCCTGGCCATCCCCCGGCCTCCCAGTGGCTCTGCACAATTCCAGGCCCAATCCCAGCCTGAGTAAACCAGCACCTTTCACGGTTTGCGCTGCACCCAAAATTCAGCTCATGTTTTAAAAATGTCTCAGATGGGGCACCTGGCTGGCTCAGTCAATAGATTATGCGACTCTTAGAGTTCGAGCCCCACGTTGGGCGTAGAGATTACTTTGAATGAATGAATAAATAAGGAATAGAAATACATTTGCAGGAGCACCTGGGTGGCTCAGTTGGTGACGCATCTGCCTTCAGTTCAGGTCATGATCCCGGGGTCCTGGGATCGAGCCTCGAGTCGGGCTCCCCTATCAGGGGGGAGCCTGCTTCTTCCTCTCACTGTCCCTCTATGCGCTCTCTTGCTCTCTCCTCTCAAATAAAATCTTTTAAAAAGTCCCAGAAGAACATGTAAGTATAGGGGGAGGAGGTCCTCACTTAATTTTCGGCATAGGACAACTTCAAAGGAATATCAGTTTTTACTGTCTTACTTCGGGAAGCTCCAATTATTAAGACCTTAGGCCTCAGGAAAACAAGCCTTTTCCTGGTGAAACCAGGACTGTCCATGGAATTGGAAGAGGTCAGTGTCAGTCCCGCAAAGGCACATCCACACAGTTCCCGGCCCTGCGCAAGTCCCCAGCCCTGCACAGAAAGGGCTTGGCAGCGGGAGGAGTCCCTGCTTCCGAGCGGGCGAGTCATGTTGGCCCCACTATGAAACCATGCTCAGAAGCAACCGGCTCACAGGGGATTTCCAGATACCACTCTCAGAGACCCCAGGTTGCTAACAGCTCTTAAAACCCTTAAGTGTGGAAAGACAGACACTTTTTATTCGGTAACTTCGTCTAAATCAGGGGTTGCCAACTACAAATGCAGCTTGCGGACTGTTTTTGCAAAGGAGGCTTGCCGGGCACGTAGCTGTGCTCCTTCGTGTGCACCACAACCCGGACCGCAGTGCCCACACAAGCTTCCCAGCCACTGTCCCACGACCCTGAATACCTTTAGTCCTTGTAACAACAGGTTTCACAGGTAAGAAACAGACACCTATCGTGCTCATGTTTCTCGCCCAGGGCCCCAGATCTACGAAGAAAACACACTCTGACCAAATCTCAAACGACTTCCCATCGAAGCCACACCTGGAACCTTGCACCCCGCAGGTGTGGATGTGGTCGGTGACCCCGCCACCTGCCCAGGACACGCCCCCCGCGTCAGAGCCCTCCCAGCCTTGGCTCCAGCCGTGGCTGGGCTTTCCTCACGTGGCCTGGATGGCTGCTTACGGTCTCTGTCACATATTCGAGCGGCTTATCCTCAAACCCAGGGCATGAAGCCTTCACGGGCCAGCGTCCTGCAGAGCCGAGCCCCAGTCCCGCTGGTTCACAAGCTGCACTGTGCATGGATGTCACAGCAACTCCAGTAACCAGCTGGACGCAGTCTGTGTGCATCCGCAGGACAAACAGAGGGTCACTGGAGAGGACCCTCCATGACCCCATTATTAACGTGTCTGGGACACAGCTGGTGCGCGTGCTCCCCAAGAGGATCCAGTGCCTGTGGCAAGGGGCCAGGGTCATTTGGGCATCCCAAGCATCAGGGCTGAAAATGCCCTTGCTACTTTTCTCCTCTGTGGAGAAAGTCCGTTATCTGTAACTCTGCAACTACTTGAGCATCTGGTAGACAGCAGTCCCATGGATTAGCGGTAACGACCTCTCTCTGCAAATTTATATAAGCAGACTTTCTAGCTGGGGGCTCTTCCATTTGGCCCTGGTTCTGAAGCATCCAGTGATGATTTCTGTGCAGGTAGGTTGAGAAAGAGTAGATCGATGATTGATACATGGAAGAAAGACGGATGGGCAAAAGGAAAAAGGGTGAAGGGACACACAGGATGGATCCAAGGGGCTGGCTTTACACACAACTTGCCCTCCTGGACCACTCCCGGGGCTCCACCCCAGGCTGACCTACATTCAACGCCACGATGTCACCATGACAACACAGCTTCTCCATCATCTTCCATCAGTTCAGGCTGAAGGATTGATGGGCGCCCCCTTCTCCTCCTCACCCTGGATCTGCAACGAGCACACAGCCTTCAGGGTAAAACTATAAATCTGAGGCACAAGGCTGTCTGTGAGAGGAGCCATCCTCCCTGCCACGTGTCTGAGCAAGAGTTTATTTAACATCTGTGGTGCCCCAAGGACTGTCCCACAGCTGACAGCAGGTTGGTGAATGCTCGCTCACTGTAGAAGCGAAAGACCATGTTAGTCCAGGGACACCAACCACAGGACCCCGTGCTTGAGTATTCACCATGTACAACCCAAATGGTGTATTTCCATGCTTCTTAGCTCGAGACACCTGTCCACCTAACACCCTTTCATTTCAGGAGTAAGGACACAGGACAGAAAAGTGCAGAAATCATCTCTCCTCAGTGAGGAGAAAATAAAAGTGATCTTTTGAAATACTTTCCATTTTATCAAGAGTATTTAAATTATTATCCTTAAAGAAGCACTTTAAGACTTAAAATTCAGCAGGAGAAATTAAAGTCATGTGTTCTGTTACAAAGAGAAAAGATTTGCAGACAAGTCTTAAATTTAAAGTGAAAACCCAAGTAAAGCAAAACCACCAATACACAGCTGAGTAACACGGAGATCACTCTTCTCCTCTTCCCCAAAGGAAGCATCCTCTTACTCATACCATAGCCCAGACTTCCAAGCAAACCCCAAGTCCTAGAAAAGGGAAGGTCAAGCAAATGCCAGACTGAAGTGGACACTGCAGGGCCCCCATCTGTCCAACCTGGCCTCACTCCAGAAACTCGGGCCCCCCAGGGATCTGTGCAGAGCCACCCGCCCTGTGATGCCTGACCGAGATGGGAAAGCGCGGACAGCCATGGGATCTCCAGGTGACCGGACGTGCCCCAGAGTGGACCGCATGCCACGAGCTACCTCCACGCTG